TTCTTGAGCGTGCACGAATACATAATTTTAAATTCAACCCGGAAAAAAAATCAGTATCGTAAATTGCTTTTGCATCTAAGACCCTAAGCAAAAGTGAACAGATGTGCCCACAAATTGAAAAGATAAACAAAAATATTCTTCTTCTTGATTGGCGTAGACACAGCTACGCGATTATAGCCGAGTTAACAACAGCGCGCCAGTCGTTTCTTCTTTTCGCTACGTGGCGCCAATTAGATATTCCAAGTTAAGCCAGGTCCTTCTCCACTTGSTCCTTCCAACGGAGTGGAGGTCTTCCTCTTCCTCTGCTTCCCCCGGCGGGTACTGCGTCGAATACTTTCAGAGCTGGAGHGTTTTCGTCCATCCGGACAACATGACCTAGCCAGMGTAGCCGCTGTCTTTTAATTCGCTGAACTATGTCAATGTCGTCGTATATCTCGTACAGCTCATCGTTCCATCGAATGCGATATTCGCCGTGGCCAACGCGCAAAGGACCATAAATCTTTCGCAGAACTTTTCTCTCGAAAACTCGCAAAGTCGACTCATCTGTTGTTGACATCGTCCAACCCTCTGCACCATATAGCAGGACGGGAATTATGAGTGACTTATAGAGTTTGGTTTTTGTTTGGCGAGAGAGGACTTTGCTTCTCAATTGCCTATGACTGTCAACAGTGACGTGCGTGCCAAGTCGCGAGTGCGACGACTGTTTGTTTGATGACAGGAGATATTTCGTCTTGCCCTCGTTCACTGCCAGATCCATTTGTGTTGCTTCCTTGTCCAGTCTAGAAAAAGCAGAGCTAACGAACAAAAAGAACAAAAATATTACTATGAAGAAAATGTGAAGTCATTGCCATTATTGAAGGTGGGAGATTTGGTAATTCTTAAAAAGAAGGGAACGGCATTACGAAAGAATTATGGGACAGGGTAATGACCGTTCATACATTATTCGGGCTGTATTTGAGAATCACTTCAAACGTAATCGTTGATTTATTGCTAAAACTAGTAATAAAGATGTTTATAGCCGAACAATGGCGGATTTGCAGTCCTAGCCGCTCTAGGCCCCAGGCCATGTGCCGCCCCTTTCTCAGCACCCATCATTATAGACTAAAAACATAATTCATGAATTTACTTTATTCCCACTTTCAATTGATTCATAAAATTGTTTAACTAAAACTACCGGATAAAGCTAGTTTATAAAATTTTCCGAGATTCCAGGGATGATTGGGCATTTACGGAGTCACAACGGCGCGATGCACGCGCGTAATAAAAATAGGTTAGGTACCTAAGTACCTACTCTTCCTAGATACTTTATATGTACGATGCACGAAATTATTTATACTTTGATACTCAAAAAAATGATTTGGGAAGATTATATAAGCATACGGCTAAGATACTTTTCATTTGAGTTATTTCTTGTTAACATTTTTGTTATCAGTGATATTTTTGGCACGATTTGCCGCCTTTAATATCTGGCCGCCCTAGGTCCGGGCCTACTGGGTCTTTGGGAAAATCCGCCACTGTAGCCGAGTTTACAACAGCGCGCCAGTCGTTCTTTCTTTTCGCTGTTTGGTGCCAATTGGATATTCCAAGTGTAGATAAGTCTTTCTCCATCAATTATTTCCAACTGATTGGAGGTTTTCCTCTTCCTCTGCTTGCCCTGCTGTTACCGCGTGGAATACTCTCAGAGTTAAAGTGTTTTCATCCATTCGAACGACATGCCCTAGCCAGGGTAACCGTTGCCTCTTAGTCCGCTGATCTATGTTAATGGCGTCGTCCATTTCGTACAGTTCTTCGTTCGCTCGACTGCGGTATTCGTCATTGCCAATGCGGAAAGAACCACAAATTCTTCCAAGACCTTTCTCTCGAAAACTTCTAAAGCCGGCTTTCTAAATGTTGTCATCGTACATGTCACTGCACCATGACCTGTAGAATATAGTCTTTGTACGTCGAGAGAGTACTTTACTTCTCAATTGCCTATCCAGTCTTAAGTACCACATGTTGGTAAGACTCATTCTGCGTTGGTTGAAATTATCTACTACTTCGAAGTTATGACGCTCTACAGTGGAGTTCGCAAACTGTGGACGGCACTGTCATACTATCGATGGTTTGGAAAATTTTATCAAATACATTTTTTTTTTTTAGTTATGTTAAATTTTGTAATAGTAATACCTATGTCAGAGATAATGAGATGTTTAACTCCTCTCTCACTGGAAGTGAGAGAACAATTGCTAAACGTCAAAACCACCTAAACTTTGACAGTTGATCGAGTTCAGGAGGTTTGACGTTTAAAAATTGGAAACGAGCGATGGCCAGATTGAAATCTTAGCGAAAAAATACGTAAGCGGAGGGATTTGTTGCATCGTTCAATACCACTTGTAAAATATGTAAAACAATGAAAATTAAATAAATTTGTGAAATTTAAAGGTATTTGATGAAAGGTTTTGTAATTTGAAGCATTATAGTATTATTTTCAATGGAAAATGATTAAATCCTTTTATTGGGCATTGAAAGGTCAAATATCAGTTATTCTAATATACTTTAAAAAAATTTAAATAGTTTCTCCATATAATGAATAACCAGTATATAGTAATTTTTATTCGTACTAAATGTTGGTTGTTTTAATTTAAATGCCCAAAAATTATTATTTTGTCCAATCTGGTCATAATGGAAAATGTTATAAAAAACGTTAATTTTGAGGTGCTCTCACACTGGAATAAGTTTAACATCCCTTTATTCCTGCCTATGTGTTAGTGAAATTGACATTTTCTTCAAAACTTTTATTTTTCCAACTTGGCAACATTGTTAATTAATGTCAAAGTCGTTTCGTTGTAACGCGGGATCTCGACAGGCAAAAATTAATGGCATACTAACTGTTAAATCAATTGATATTGCCATTGCCAAATTTGTATGTGGGCATTTTTAACATAACATAATAATTTAAGCAAAGGCGTAGGGTAGGTAGGTTCGAAATGATGTAGCGCATATTTTGAGCTCTTGAAAATTTTGTTTTAGCACACTGCCAAATGCCGTTGGGTAGGGATGTTTGATGTAGCGCATGTTTTGAGCTCTTGAACTGTTTAAATTTTTTATGTCGAAAATAAAAAAGGAGAAAAATCCTGTTTTTTTTTTTACAAATGTATTTCTAAGAAAAATAAGAAAAGGCAAAAGATCCCTTTTTTACAAATGTATTTCTGGGAAAAATGAGAATTCATATTTTTGGACTACTATATAATAATTGTGGCCTCAATTTTATATATCAATWAAAACGATAAATTCAATCTGAGCAATATTTTGATTTATGCTTGTATAAGTTTATCAAATTTATGACTTCGCTCATTCCCAACCCATTTTGCATAATTTTTCTGTAAATTAGCAATATTAAACTAAATATTAATTCTTTGGAAAAAACTTATTTTGAATATGTACTTTTACAAATGTACTTTAACACGACCGCCTTAATACTCGCTCAACTAAATTTAATACTACGGAAATGAAAATGCCATCGGCGTATACATAAATGGGATACGTTGCCTCTTCGAAATTTTCATAGAGATGAAAACTTCACCGTGAAACTGCTGAAGTGACAGCTTATTGCTTTCAATATATGGAATACTAATTCCATAAGCAATATGGAGTATCCACAGGCAATAGGCACGGCAATACAGTTAGTATCACATAAATCTTATCCTATTGAGATGCCCCGTAAAGGTCCGTCTCCAGCTCTTAAGCAATTGCTCAAGAAAAAAATTCTTTATATCTTTAGCCGTAATCCTTATTAGAAGAGCAAGGGGAAATAAACAAAGCTTATATGTGTAAGTATATAAATAACTTCCTTCCGATTTAAGGAATGTGGATGTAGATTCGTCAATTTTATACAAGATTTCAACTAGAACTACATTTCATAATACTGAATTTAAATAATTGTAAGATGAATTTAATGATGACTTTGAATTTCCTTCAAACCAGAATTGTCTCAAAAACATTTTATACAAAAAAACAATAAATTATTAAAAAATCAGTACTAGATTTCTATAGAGCTGCATACTATCACATAAAATTTCAAGCATCAAATTTTCTTGACCATTTCTTAAGAATTTTTTGATATGAAGTTTTTACATTCCTTGAAAGCTGGAAACTACCTTTAAAATCTATTGCTATTGCCATTCCCAAATCTGCATGTGGGCATTTGTTATCATAACATAATCATTTGCGCAAAGGCTAAGGGTAGGTAGGTACGACCTGATGTAGCGCATGCCTTGAGCTCTTGAAAATTTTATTTTATCACTTTTTATCACAATGCATCCGGTACGTAGCTGATGTAGGGCATATTTTGAGCTCTTGAACTGTTTAAATCTTTTATGAGGAAAAAAAAAGAATTAGGATCCTTTTTTTTACATATGTATTTCTGGGAAAAATAAGAATTCATATTTTTGGACTACTATATAATAATTGTGGCATGCATTTTATATACCAATTAAAATAATAAATTTTATATGAGCAATGATATTTTGATTTATGATTGTATAAGTTTGATAAATTTAAGACTTCGCAATTTGCATAATTTTTCTGTAAATTAACAATATTGAACCCAAAATAAATTTTTTTGGAAAAATGCTATTTTAAAAATGTATTTACACTTACACTTTTCAAAATTTCATATTACTGAAATGAAAATGCCGACGGCATACGTGCAAATGGGATATGTTGGCTATTCGAAATTTTCATAGAAATGAAAACTGCGCTGTCAAAGTGCTGAGGTGACAGCTTATTGCTTACAATAAATGGCAAACTAATTAGTATTCCATATATTGTAAGCAATAAGCAATATTGAGTCACCACAGACAATAGGCACTGCAATACAAATAGTAAGACTTAGATTTTATCCTGTCGAGATGCCCTGTAAGGGTGCATTTCCCAAATGACTCAGTAAGCTCTTTCGATTCATAATATTGATTGCACTAAAATTATCGAAATTTCGATCTTTTAGTACCTGCAGAGAGGCCGGTAACGTTGTACACTTCGATACCAGTGATGCCAACTTAATGGGTGACCACTAAGACTAGTGGTTTTTCTTTCCCTCTATTGTCCGAAAAACTTTTTTAGTGGCTGGTGGTTTTTTAGTGGTAAATACTATCTGACGGTAAATACAAAAAATTAATAATATATATTATATATATTCTTCACAATTGCTAAGCTTTTAAAGAGCTACGAATAAGACCTGTTATATCACAAGGGGGGAGCTATTTTAACAGCTACATTCCACTATACTCAATTGTTTGACATACTCATACGTTCTCTTTAATATTTTTCGCTCTTTCTTTCTTTGTAACAGAATTAATCTTCATTTTTTTTTAAATATTTTAAAGATAAAATTTCCTTGTAATGTACTCCGTCATTAATATACTCATATAACAATGTTTAGTAAACGACAGTATTCTCAAAAATTTAGAGATTTCTGGCCCAAAGACACTATTTTAAAAGATTTGTTACAAGTTGTAGATGATAATGACGGCGATAAAGCAGCTAGTCATTGTATTTTTATAAGTTTAAAAGTATAAACTTTTAAATTAGTTTGCGATTATTAATAATTATTTATTTAAAATATCTTAAATTTCATTTTAATGACTTTTCTTTTTTTTTTTTCTTTTAACTATTTACATTAGTTAGTTCAGCTTGGAGAGAACGCTAGTGATTTTAGAGTCGACACTAGTGGTCCCTGGAAAAATATTCTGGCCACACTGTTCGAGACGTCCATTATAAATAAAAGGAAATATGAAGTACGCGGAGTTAAGGTGGTCATCTTTATATTCGAAAAGTGAATGACAATTGTTTTCTATTTATCTCTTTAAACTACGGTCTTTTATTTAATAGCATGTACTTTTATTTCGAGGAAACTCTCACTGGAAAGGATCGTATCCAGCCATATTAAAAAACCAGATTATTATTACCGATTTCACTATCCGGGTAGTACAATCGGTGTGCCAGATATTAAGAATGAATCGGAAATAAATACTATTCGCTTGAGTTGTAAGATGGCAGGACAAGTACTCCAAGCGTGCTCGCGATTAATAAAAGTAAGTTATATTTCAGGTTATGGAATTATATCGACTTCTATGAGGGCTCTACAAAAGCAGTGCCCCGCGACATCGCCGTTAAAAGGAGTATCTAAGGCTGCGATTTAGAAAAGCATCCTCCGATTTCGGGGTTACCGGTCCTCCAAATAAAGAATATATGTGTATACATATAGTTGCCGCCGATTTATGGTTTTTCAGATATTTGCATTTAAAGTTCAAAAAATTTGTGTGTTTGCCGATTTATAATGCATTTTACACTTATATTTTATACTTTTATGGAACGCTACCATTCTTTTAGCGCCGCGATTCGAAGGTATAATCTGAAAGAGGATAAGGGAAGACTTTAGTATACCGTCCCATGATTTCGAGAATAAAATGGGTATGGTCGGATAGAGGAGATTCTCCAGATTACGAATATATATGGTTATAGCAGCAGGAAGCTTATAGTTTTCGAGATATTCGCGATTAAAGTTGAAATTTTGCAATATTTTAATTACATGCGGTGGCTCCATCGCGTAATCGGACAAGAGTTTTTCTAATATAAATGTCCTCCAAACATAAAAAAATCAGAATGAGTTTTTTGCTTTTATTTACACTTAATATTATCGTCTGCTTAGATGATAAAGAAAAGGTAACTTTTTTAAATATAAGCTGTCAATTTAAATAAAAAAACTAAAACAATTCAATTTTTTATGCTCAACGAATAATCGGACAAAAAAAATAGAGCCACTTAATGTATAAAAAAAAAGGAGTCAATACTTAGTTGCATAACCCTTGTTATCCAGAACAGCCTGTAATCGCTCTGGAACAGATTCTACCAAGTTTTGACAAACCTCCGGCTCTATGGAATACCAAGCCTGTAATAAGGCCTCCTTTAGCTCACCTAAGGTGTTAAACTTTTTCTGATACACTCTTCTACTTAATTCCTCCCACAAATGCTCGATTACATTAAGGTCAGGGCTCTGCGGTGGTGTTTGTATTAGTTTAGGGCAGTTGTGTATCAACCAAAGCTTTGCAACGCCCGATGTGTGCTTGATAAAAAGCAAATTTGTMCGCGATACAAAACTTCTCTGCACTTTGCTTAACATTTTCTTTCAAAATATTGAGATAGCCAAATTTGTCCATTTTACCATCAATAAAATGCAAATTGCCTACTCCAGAACTTGACATGCATCCCCAAACCATGACAGAGCCCCTCCGTGCTTCACAGTGGATTTTGTATTTTTATGAGCAAATTCGGCATTTGGTTTACGATACACAAACATTTTGTCATCTGATCCATGCAAATTAAATTTGCTTTCATCAGTGAATAAATCCTGAAAACTAGCTATCAAAATAAATGTATTTTGRGAAGAAATAATGTGAAACTACCTGATTCCAAAAGTCTTTTGATTTTAATAAATACTCCTTAGCATATTTCAGCCTTTTGTTTTTATTTTGATGGCTAATGAAAGGTTTTTTTCTTGCAACTCTACCATGGTAATCGTATTTGTGTAACGTATTACGAATAGTATTTAGGCAGACATCTTTTCCACAACGATTTTTTAAAGAAACTTTAAGTTCTTTTGCCGTGTTGAAATGATCTTTTGCGACTTCCTTTACCATAGAACGCTCTTCTCGCACAGATAATATCTTGCCTTGACCTTCTCTGTTTCTATTAGCCAATCTGAACTCATGATGGAACCTCTTGATCACATCATGGACCGTGGATTTGCTTCTTCCTACCAATTCAGCGATTTCTCGGACGGTTTTACCT